CAGTCACAGTCAGTCAAAGTCAGACAGTCACAGTCACAAAATCACAGACAGTCACAGTCACAGTCAGACAGTCACAGTCAGATAGTCAGATGGTCGCAGTCACAGTCAGATAGTCAAAGTCAGATAGTCGCAGTCACAGTCAGACATTCAGTCACAGTCAGATAGTAATAGTCAGACAGTTACAGTCACAGTCAGACAGGCACAGTAACAGTCAGACACTCTCAGTCAGACAGTCACAGTCACAATCAGAAAGTCACAGTCAGATAGTCACAGTCACAGTCAGTCACAGTCACAGTTACAGTCAGTCACAATCAGACAGTCACAGTCAGAAAGTCACAGTCAGACAGTCACAGTCAGACAGTCACAGTCACAGTCAGACATTCAGTCACAGTCAGATAGTGATAGTCAGACAGTTACAGTCACAGTCAGACAGTCTCAGTCAGAAAGTCACAGTCACAATTAAAAAGTCTCAGTCAGACAGTCACATTCACAATCAGACAGTCACAGTCAGATAGTAACAGTCAGACAGTTACAGTCACAATCAGACAATCACACTCAGTCACAATCACAGTCAGACAGTCACAGTCAGACAGTCACAGTCACAGTCAGTCTCAGTCACAATCAGACAGTCACAGTCACAGTCAGACAGTCACAGTTAGATAGTCACAGTCACAGTCAGACAGTCACACTCAGTCACAGCCACAGTCAGACAGTCAAAGTCATAGTCAGTCAGTCATAGTCAATCACAGTAAGTCAGTCAGTCACAATCAGACAGTCACAGTCACAGTCAGACAGTCACAGTCACATTCAGACAGTCACAGTCAAATAGTAATAGTCAGACAGTTACATTCAGGTAGTCACAGTCACAATCAGACTGTCACAGTCATATAGTAACAATCAGACAGTCACAGTCAGACAGTCACAGTCACAGTCAGGCAGTCACAGTCACAGTCAGACAGTCAAAGTCAGTGACAGTCACAGTCAGTCAGTCAGTCAGTCTCAGTCATACACTCACACTCAGACAGTCACAGTCAGATAGTCACAGTTACAGTCAGACAGTCAGTCATAGTCAGTCACAGTCAGACAGTCACAGACACAGTCACAGTCAGACAGTCACAGACACATAGACAGTCAGGCAGTCACAGTCACAATCACAGACAGTCACAGTCAGATAGTAACAGTCAAACAGTCACAATCAGACAGTCACAGTCTGATAGTCACAGTCACAATCAGACAGTCACAGTCACAGTCAGACACAGACAGTCACAGTCATATAGTAACAGTCAGACAGTCACAATCAGACAGTCACAGTCACAGACAGTCACAGTCAGACACTCACATTCACAATCAGACTGTCAGTCAAATAATAATAGTCAGACAGTTACATTCAGATAGTCACAGTCAGACATTCACAGTCACGGACAGACAGTCCCAGTCACAGTCACAATCAGACAGTCACAGTCACAGTCACAGTCACATTCAGACAGTCACAGGCAGACAGCTACAGTCACAGGCAGACAGTCACAGTCACAGTCACAGGCAGACAGTCACAGTCACAGGCAGACAGTCACAGTCACACAGTCACAGTCACAATCAGGCAGTCCCAGTCACAGTCAGACACAGTCAGACATTCACTGTCACAGACAGACAGTCCCAGTCACAGTCAGACAGTCACAGTAACAGTAACAGTCTTACAGTCAGACAGTCACAGTCACAATCAGACAGTCACAGTCACAGTCAGACAGACACAGACAGTCACAGTCATATAGTAACAGTCAAACAGTCACAATCAGACAGTCACAGTCACAGACAGACACTCACATTCACAATCAGACTGTCAGTCAAATAATAATAGTCAGACAGTTACATTCAGATAGTCACAATCAGACAGTCATAGTCACACAGTCCCAGTCACAGTCAGACATTCACAGTCACGGACAGACAGTCCCAGTCACAATCAGTCACAGTCACAGTCATATAGTCACAATCAGACAGTCAGACAGTCACAGTCACAGTCACAATCAGACAGTCACAGTCAACCATTCACAGTCACGGACAGACAGTCCCAGTCACAGTCAGACAGTCACAGT